CCTCGACCAAAGATTTTGTAAATTTTGAACGTCTATCAAGTAGAAGCCGCGTTGCGGATTGTTGTGAAACTTTGATCGAAGATATCTCGGTATCCACCTGATCAAATTCTATGCACTTTTTTTTCTTTAAATTCTACAGATTTCTAAATTAAAATAAAAAAAAGTTCAACGAATTTGATTAGATGTTTGTCGAGATATCTTCAATTAAAGTTTTTAAAAAAATTAAAAAAATTAGAATGATCGGCGAGGGTAATGTTGTTAACTGGAAACTACTGGAAGACAACTGGAACACTACTGGAAGAAAATTGATAGTACTACTGGAACTTTTACTATTACAAATTTCCACTGGAAGGCTGAGAATTACTACTGGAAACAAAAATTAACAACACTGGGCAAGGGTAGTGATTCTGGCCGATAGTCAAAAAATCGGCTAAAGCTAATTTTTCAACTTAGCCGGTCGATTTTTTCTAAAATCGGCTAATCGATTTTATATTAAAATTTTATAATAACCTTTTTATATTATTATCTCCTTTATACAATACTATTCAATTAAAAGTAATATTCTAATCTTATTAGGAAATCACTGTAAGCAGTTGAGTTTGTGCATAATGCAGGCCGGCCGTTAATATGAACATGTGATATTGCAGGTTCAATTAATGTGTTATTAAAACTGAAACGGGATATGCTCCCGGAAACAGCAATAATATTGCGCCGAGATAACAGTAAGTAATTGAGTTTGTGCTGTAGGCTAGCCGTCAAATGAACATGTGATATTGATATTCAATATTGATATTCAGCAGTTATATTTATGAAAATGACAGATTTCCTTTGGAAGGAAGGTTGGGTCGCGAATTGTGGTCAGTCGCAGCTGAGTAAGCAATTGTTGGCGTAAGGCTCAATTGCATTTCTCATGAATTTATTTTCATTCTCATTGCCGCCTTTATTAAGTTAATGATTACTGCTTGTGGAAAGTCATTCAGATCATTTTAAATAATAAAAATAACCTTATAAATAATAATGATAAGAGAACACCTGGGCAATACGCCATTTTTTACCACAAAAATTTTTGTTTGAGTGGAGGAGTGATTTGGATACTTGATTGTCTGGAACTGGACTTATTCCAGTCGATAGTTTCACGAGGCACATCACCATGCTTAGTATATTTTCGATCTGTTGACTTTATGTCAACTTGAAAAATCAAATGTTATATATGAATTTTTTTCAATATTGAAGCAAATATTTTGCTTTGATTGTAATAAGATTCATAAAACTCGCAATTTTTATTAGGTATTGGGTAAATTGACTAAAAATTGTGTGAACGCCTTATTCATGCTGTAATTAAAATACTTTAGTAAATGTATCCATATTCTTGATACCAGTAATATAATCATATTTAAATTGTTTAGATACATCTTTACCACTAAAATTTAAAATATGCTAAAAATGGATTAGAGTAATGAGAATAACAATGCAAATCTTTAAAATAATACAAGAATATTAACTCATTTAAAGAAGAAAAGATAGCGTAATCAGTTATTGTTAAATAGAAAAAGAAACTATAAATAAAAATAACATACCATTTAAACCAATTTTACCGATACTATACCAAATTTAATTTTATTTTGGTTGCAATTAAAGTGTGAATAGTAATTAAAAAAAAAAAAAAATATGATGCCAAAAATAAAAAAAACCAAGTGTACGTACTTGTTATTGTGTGGCTGTTTAAAGATAGCTCCCAGGTCTAAATTCATTACATTCTAAAAGTAATTTTGAGCAAACGTTCTTGCATAAAATATACAAATTTGCTTATAAAAAGAGAACATTCACATGAATACAATACAGTTTACAAAAATGTTCCTACAAAATTTTTCTAATGATGATCTATATCCGGATGAATTTTCTTTATTACTAACTGAAAAATTCCCATATTTAATGTCTGACGATGGTGGGCCCCTAGATAATGATGAGCCCTTGGATGATGATGAGCCCTTGGATAATGATGAGCCCTTGGATGATGATGAGCCCTTGGATGATGATGAGTTTTTGGATGATGAACTCTTGAATGGTAATGAGCCCTTAGATGATGTTGAGCCTTTAGATAACGATAATAATAATAAAATACCTTCTTTAAATAATAATTCACATACTTTTACTCAAAAAATTAAGAGAAAAATTAGTAATTTTTGAAATATAAATGCTAATAAAAAGTCTAGACCAGTTAAAAGTTGGGTATGGAGACATATGACAAAAGATAAAGTTAACAAAAAAATTAGATGTCATGAATGGATAGGTAGTAATAATAAGTTTCGAAAATGCCCAAATACTTTTGAACTCAAAACTAGTACAACAAATTTAGCTACTTATCTTTGTGTTGAGCACAGATTAGACAAAAATGGACCTTTATTATTACTAAGTGGCCAACAGGAAACAACTAAATCACAATCTCCTCAATTAGATTCATCACAACCTACACAAACTACTATACAAGAATTATTTAATCATAGAATACCATTAACAAAAAAAAAACAAGACAGAATTACTTCCCGACTATTAGCATGGATTATTGATGACATGCAACTTTTTAATGTCTTGAAAAATAATTGATTTCAGGATCTTATGTATGAAGCAGAATCACAATTTTAATTTCCGGGTGATGATATGTTTAAACAAAAACTATATGGAGCAATAAGATATTCTGAAAATACATTAAAAAACTTAATTAATAATACATTAGAATCTTTTGTGTTTACTACTGACTTATAGACTAAAGACCACAAACTATATATCAGAATTACAATATATTAGCTCTCTCCCGAATTTAAAATATATAAAGCTTTGCTTACAATCGAAAGTTTTTCATATCCACATACATCAGAATATATAGAAGATTGTTTGAAAAAAGAGTAGATATTGAAATCTTACATATTTGGTGTACAGCTCACACAATCCAACTTGGAGTTACTGATAGTTTAAAGCAAATTACTGATTTAATAAATCATGCAAAGGCTCTAAATACATTCATCACTAGAAAAGATAAATATAGAGAAAGATTATAGTTAGCACAAATTGAAATAGCTAAAGAAAAAAATCTATTAATTGAAAATAAAAATATTTCTGTATTAAACCCAATATCAAATGATACAGCAACTAGGTGGAACTCCACATACTTATTATTAAATCAACTACTTAATCTTTATAAAGCTATAAAAAAACTACAAGTAGATCTCACAAAAGATAAAGAAAGAGATGTTAGAAATAATGCAAAAGCACTTGAAATACTGCTTTTTAATGAAGATAATTTATTAGGTATACAGGAATTAGTCGAATTGCTAGGCCCTTTTGTATACGTTACAACTATTGTTGGTGGTGACTACTATTCTACCTTTTCCATAATGCTACTATTAATTAAAATTTTACAAAAACATCTATTTTAAAAAGAACCAACATTTACACATCTAGTTGTTCGCAGTGTGCATGATGAGATTGAGCTATCATTTGAAAGCTGTTGGGATAAACTAGCATTAGAAGGATACATCGCAGCAATTCTAAACCTGAGGTTTAAAGATCTAAGTTTTGAGTCAAAAAAGTTTGAACAAACAAAAAATAAATTAAAGCATAGAATGAAAAATGCACAAAACATGCATCAATCATCTTTTTGTGAAACAAATCAACCCCCTTCCTTACTAAGTTCACTATTTGGAAAAATCCCAAAACCAATTTCTCCTATTGAAAATGAACTCAAGATTTATTTTGATATGCCCCTTATGCCAAAATATGATCTTTCTGATCCTCTTTACAAAATCCATAACCCATTAGTCTTTTGGCATGATAATAAACAAACTCTCCTTTTAATAGCCCAACAAGCATGATAGTTACTAGCTATTCCAGGAACCTCTATTTCATCTGAGTGTTTGTTTTCTGATGCTGGGAATGTAATTACTGACAAACGAAGCTGCCTTCATCCTAATACAGTTCATGACTTACTTTTTCTAAAGGAAAACCAAAATTGTTTTAATCCTTATCCTGATTTAAATTAGTATCAAACAAAAAAATAGATCTTATTTTTATCTGTTGTAAAATTAAGTAGTAAAACTAAAAAAATTAAGCAAATACTTTTTTATTCTACCTCTTGTAATTCTTATTCCAATTTATTAAATTACAACTAAGTTTTATTACTGTATTATATAGTAAAAAAAATAAAAGTTTAATCTTAGTTATATCTATCGCTATATATATAAAATAATTTTATCAATAAATAATATGAAAAACGCATTAACAAAAAATGTTAGAGGAAAATCATATGGGACCTGGCTTTAATGGTAAATCGGCTAAGCTAGCTAAGTTGATAAAAATTTATCAGCTTAGTCTAGCCAATAAATTTTGATCGACCAGAATCACTAGACAAAGGTGTGGCATTATCAAAAAAGGATGTGGAATAATAGGAGGAAATGTTGATACATTACAAAATCATTACACAATTGATAAAAAAATTTTTTATATTATTTTACAATACTTTTTTAGAAGGCTTACCTGACTTATCTTTTTTATAAATATTGAAAACAATTAAACAAACATGAAGCTTTCACTTTGCTTTACAACATATTTTTTGAATTCTCTTGAATCCCATGGTTTCATTTTTTTGTAAATTTTGCAATTTGATTGATTGACTAATCCTGTAATAATATCAGTCAGGGAATATGTCACCTGTCCAAATATGTGAGCACATAATCATAGTAAAAATATAGATCAATTTTTAAAAATTTGCTATGAAAATTTTTAAAAGTTTTTATTCACTTTTAATTAAACTATGTGATGTGTAAAAGATATTAAAAATATTTTCTAAATAATACTATTCTACAGGGTTTGTTCTATTAAATGGTATAAGTTTGAAATCTGATTCATATATAAATAAGAAATAATGTCAGGCTTAAAGTTTGTTAATATATCTGAATCTTGCCTATATCAAAAATTTGAAAATTTCTAACTTGCCAAGCTTCTAGTGTGGATTTAATTTCAAACTGGTGATTTACTAAAGTAATATTTTTTTTAAAACCCTTTCACTAAAATTTTATTATAATTTATTATTAGATCTCTTTGGAATTATTTGTTATTACAGTTAGAACTCTTTAAGCATACGTGGAAGAGCCAAGCAATGATGGTTAGACTCAATATACAAAGCAGACTTTGGTCTCTTGCACAGCCGTGAGAACCGGGCATATGGCGAGTGATTTTGCAGAAGACTCCTCTCCCATCTCCTTAGGCACCAACTCATCCCATCCTACTGAGAAGACATGTTTTAACAAATTTCTTTGCAAATACAACCTTCCTCTTCTCCCGTCACCACAAACACTCAAATCATTCCTCCAGCACCTTTTAAAAAATTCATTCCTGCAACTATACAAAATCTCTGTCAATA